AGCCAGTGGCAGGGTTTGGTTGGGGTTTTTGGAAATTTAATTAAAAAAAAAAAAAAAAAAAAAAAAGAAAGAAATTAAGTTTTTCCCAATTGAAAAAGTTAGTGGGCTCCAATTTGTCCAAGGTCTCGAAGAGTCGCGACATCTGACAGCTCTTGTGTTGTGGTGAAATTCATTAACTGGCTTGAAAAGGCCAAAAAATATGAAGCTGCTGCCATCTTTTCCACTATGTCTGAAATTCCTGTCGTTCTCCATAGAGAGCTCATAACACTTGGTTACCTGCACATAACTCCTGGCTCATAAGAAATTATGAAACTTAACTTCTCTTTTCTTTAAAAAAATAAAATATTCAAGAATATCAGCTTTTATATAAAATATCAGCAAGCCCAACAAAAAAAAAAAAAATCAATTGCTGAGGTAACTTCATACCTTGAGGTAGCTTTTTTTTTTCCTTTTCTCTTCTTTTTTTTTTTTTTTTTTTTTTTTTTCTTTTCTTTTTTTTTTTTTTAAAAACAAACACACAGCAATCCCTGGCCTTCCCCCACATCTCCCTGTTGTTGCGATGGCTTCAAGGACAGTAACTGCTGCCGCGTCCCCTCGCCAACGAACCGCCCGCCATCCTGCCGCTGCGCCAGCTGGAGTTCGGAGCCGGGCTGGGCTTTGGAGGATGCACCCAGGAAAACGCCTGCTCGAGCGGGAGGGCTGGTCTCCACTTCGGAAAATCAACGGGTAAAAGCATCAGTGCGAGGTTTGTCCCAAATTCCCTCCTTTTAGCCCCAAATTGGCTCACCCGGGGGGTTGCTCCCGGGTCTCCTCCCGCCTCGTGGGTGCAGGATCCGGCATCATCTCTCTCCCCCAAAATGAAATCCCAATTTTGCTTTTCCACCCTCCAGCTCCTATTTGCAGGAAAATCAGCATAAATTCATATTTTTGGCTGGATTTGTAACAAAAAAAACCAGGGGGTGGGGACTTGGCCGGGGGCTGCCCCAGCCCTGCTGTGGAGGCAAGCCCTTGCCCTGCCTGGAAGAGGCGATGGCAGCAGTTACTGTCCCTCCAAATATTCAATCTTAAAAACAGATCATTAAAATATATCTAAAATATAAAATCCACATAAGAGTGACGGGAATCAGTAACCATATTACATTCGTTTGACACATATATTTGGTATCGTCTCATGAGAACAATTCTTCTTACCGCAGAAAGGAGGGTGGTGGTTGGTTGCTTTTTTGTTTTTAAATAATGAAAAAAATATCTTCACAAGCTAATAAAAATGTGCCAAATCTCTAGAATATTTTTTCCCCCACCTAGAGAGATTTGGAGGGTGGGGGTAATAAGACACAAACAGCCCCAGGGGAGTTCATGTGAGCTGCCACCTCCCCCGTCTGCGAATAAAAATATTCCATAGCCCCCCACGTCTGAGTTCCCGGAGGCTCCGACGGGATTTTGGGGCACAAACCTCCCGCTCCAGGGGGGGAAGCTGAGGCTGGGGGCAGCTGGCAGAAGACGTGGTGAAGGAATTGGGAACAAAACCGGCCCCGGCTGAGCGGCAAAGCCGAGTCCCCTGCGGCTGCGCGTCTCTCCACGGCACCCCTCAATCCCTCCTGCTCCTTCCCGACCCCCCAATCCATTCTGCACGTGTTTAGTTCCCATAATCTGATTGCTAAAGAGATGAAGATTAATTCAGTATTTCCTACCAAGCAGGGGTTTCTTTTCTTTTTGTTTTTTTTTTTTTTTGTTTTGGTGGTGGTTTATTGCTGTTGCTTGAAGGGAGGAGGGAAAAGCAAAAGCCCTTCCCTCACCCCTTCCCTTCCCCGGACAGTTTGCCGCGTCTCTAGGACGGGTCGTCACCTCCGCAGCGGAGATCACTGAGAAAAAATGGTTGCGCATCCCACTTCTGCCGTTATCTCATAGGCTTCAAAAAAAAAAAAAAAAAAAAATCATCCTTTCTTTAACCTAAAATGAAAAGAAATATTCAAAAAACTGAAATAGGAGAAAAAAAAAATCATTGTGGAAAACAGAGGTGCTCTCCTGGCTTCTAAGGCTTTACAAGGCACTGCGCTGCAGGCAGCACGGGCAGGAGCATCCCTGCCGGCTCTGAGAGTGGAGCGGTGCAGAGCTCCCAAGGGACCCAAACCCATTTAGCGCTAAGGTGGGGGGTTTATCTCTTTCTTTTTACTTCTGCAAAAGTCTTCACTTCGCTCTGGGCACATCCACCAGCCGCAGGGAGGGAGGGAGCGAGGGGTCGGGGAGACCCGGGCTGGGATGGGACCTCCAGAGGCTACTTAAATGAGAGGGCAAATGCTGCACCGGCGAGGGGCACCCAGCGCCGCGGCGGCCACAGCTTCGCTGCACCCGGCTGGCCCGGCGCGTTGCAGCACCTCTCGCTTCATTTAAGTAGCTGTCCCGGCACGTCGAGCTGAAAACTGATCCAACTTTTCTTTTTTTTCTTTTTTCTTTTTACCCTAGCCATCTACCTCGGAAGCCAATCAAACTGCCTTTTTATCTCGATCGGTTAATGAAAAAATTCGCATCTGTCTACGGTAACTGATTCCCAGCCACTCTTAAGCCCGGCATTGGCTTGTTCTGCTTTTCACGTTGGTGTCGGTGCTGCTCTTATTTCCTCCGTGCTTGCGTCTGGCCGCTCTGTCCCTTCTGGTGCTGCTGCTTCACCTGGGCCAGGATGTCCCGGATCTTGCGCTGAGCCATCTGCGGGTGAGAAGAGCAAAGGGGGGAGCTGGGGAGGACCCCGGGGCTGGCGAGACCCCAGGGGTGAGAGAAACGGCTTTGCATGTTGTGAAAGATGAGACAGCGTCCAGCAGGGCTGGGTGAAGTGGCTCCTGGGAATCCCTTCCTGCCCTATTTTGAGCATGGGTTGGGTTTGGAGGTCACACTCTACGTGACCCACACCTCTCTCTGCTTCTCCTACCACCACTCATGGCAAAGAGTGCTCACCGTCTCCCACTTCTGCAAACACCACCAGCCAGGCGTGGAAAAAACTTCCCCAGGAGGATACACACATGGACACAACCCCATACGAGCCATCAGAGAACCCACCACTGCAAGCGCAGAAGCTGCTGGGGATGTACCTGGCTGGCGTAGAAGTGCCCGATGATCTTCACGATGACCTGCTCGTTCTCGTCGGGGGTCTGGTCCCGCGGCACCACCACCTCCGCCGCCGTCAGGTTCTGCAGCTCGTTGACCTGCGGGGCAGGGGCAGAGACCACCCCGTCGCGCCTTGCGGGAAGGCTGAGCCCCTCCGGGAAACCCAAGCCAGCCCACCAGGAAACCGGTCCCTGGGATGTCCCCAGGCACCAGCGTGAAGCAGCCACCCTCCCAGCGACGTCGTCACCCCCAGGGTGCTCCCAGCCCCATCCAAGCATCGCTTCTCCTTACAGTTTTGCCCCCTTTGCCGATGACCCTGCCCGCGGCCGAGGCGGGGACCCGGATGTGCGTCTCCAGCTTCACTTCTTCCTTCGGTCCAAAGAAGTTCTCCTCCTTCAGCTTCCCGTAAATCCTGCCTTGCGCCTGCGGAGGGGATAGAGCAGGGAGTCAGGCATCACTCAAGATGTCCTGCCCCCTGTGTCCCTACCGGCTCCGTAGGTCTCCATCCCCAGGACCCGGGATGGGCCAGCATCCCATGAAATCCCAGTTCCTTGGGGTTCCAAACCAGCTCAGCCCCTGGGAGAGCTGATGCTGGGTTTACCCAGCTGCAGACTGGGCTCAAAATGGGGGTCACCACCCCGCTCCATCTCTCCCAGCTCCATAGGGTGGTGGAGAGGGGCACCCCGAATCCCCCACGGTGATGGCAGCGCAGGGGGAACCTTGAACTGAGCTTCTGGAGGGCCCGTGATGACGACCATGCGCACTTTGGAGTCCGGCGTCTCTGGAGGGGCAATCTGGAGGGGGCAGAGAGATGGTGGCTGCTGGGGGGGGGCCCCCCGGCCGGCGGCGGGGAGCCCCTCGGGCAGGGAGGCACCCGTGCCCTCCCACCCTGCGCCACAGGATTGGGCCCCTAGCCCAACCACCTGGGCTTCTCGGGTGGTGTTCCCAGCCAGAAAGGACCCTGCTCGAGGACTTGCTGGCAAAGGGGGGGTCCCCACCAGAGCAACCCTACCTTGATGGAGGCACTTGCGAACCGGGAGAGCTGCTTGATGTGCTGGCCCTTCTTGCCGATGATGGCACCCACCGCCTGCGCGGGGATGAAGACGTGCACCGTCTCCTGCTCCGGAGGCTGCAGGCACAGCGTCACCAGCTCAGGGCTCAGTGCCACCATGGGGATCAAGGCTCCAACCCCCCTCCCAAGTGATGCCCACCCCTCTCCCAAGGGTGCAGGGCTGAGCCACCACCAGACCCTGCACCTTCTGAGGTGGGCAGGGGGTCTGAGCACCTTCTCCACCACGTCTGCAATAGTTTTGAAGGCCAGATCCTGCACCCACGCTGGACCTGACCTGTCTGCTGACTGCAGGGGATACTGAAGGCATAACCCTGACCACCGCAAGGGTCTTCTCCATGCAGGGGAGATCCCCGAGCTGGAAGCAGGAGCAGTTTGAGCTGCCTGGTGTTCACCTACCATGAAGGAGCTGTACGGCGCGGCCCCAGAGACGCTGCTCGGTGGAGGAGGTACTGCGTTGGAGGAGGCAGGGAAGAGGCCAACCGCAGCCAGGTTAAGGCCAGGGATGAGGTGAGATTGCAACTGAGGACAAGAGGAGAGAAATGCTCGTTGCTTTTATCAAGGCAACCTCCTAGAGAGCTCCCGTCAGCTGAGATGCAGGGCAGGACTGAACCCCACTCACGCTCATGGCAGCCACGTCATTCTCATAGGCTTCCCTCACTTTCTTCATGATCTCCTGCTCTGCTTTGCAGCAGTTCTCGATGGAACCCTTCACCGTGATGGTCCTTTCAGGGTTGTATAGAGTCAGGTCCTGCAAGCTGATGGGAAAGCCAGCGTCAGTGCTGAGACCCTGCCCTGCCCGACCAGCGCTACACCACGTCCTCTGGTCCTTCCCATGGGTGCTGTTGGGGTGCTGGGGACATGGGATGCCACTGCCACCATGTGCTGGGACTGCCTGCTCCCAGTCAGAGCAGGAACCAGCATCACAGTTTGTACTGGGAGATCCACCCTGCCTTCACCCCAAAAACACAGCTTAAAACTCCAGTCCTGGCCATCAAACCAGATGGTCCTGAGCTCTGCAGCCCTGAAAGGACAGCGAGGAGACACCAAAGGGACGAGGAGGGGAATACAGAAAATATAAACCAAGATTTTTCAAGAGAGCTTTGGGCAGTAAAGCACCCACGCCACAGGCTGCCTTCCCAGCTGACACACAGGTATCTCTGCCTGCTCTCAACATGTCACTCGTCTCCTCCTCATCCTCCCAGGTATCTCTGCCTGCTCTCAACACGTCACGCTTCTCCTCCTCATCCTCCCCATCCACCCCGGGCCAAGGAAGGTCTGCCCTGGTTTCCCCAAAGGGAGTCAGGAGTCTTACGATGAGATGGTGATCTTTGTCTCCGTGTCCTGCTCCACTTTCTTCAAGTTTCGCCCTTCTTTGCCGATCAGGCGCCCCACAAAGTTGTTATGGGCCAAGATTTTCAGAGGCACTTCATCAGCTCTTGAGAGAAGAATGGAGAAAGAAAACAACGTGAAGGATTACTGCAGCCAGAAGAGGAGGTATTTGGTACAGAGAGATGGAGGAACCTCAAGTCCCCTCGCTCAAGAGTCCCCTGGTCTCCCAAGCCAAAGCTCCTGCACACGTGGGGGCATCACCCAGCTCCTTGGGACGGTGCCAGAGCCCGGCAAAGAGCCACAGATGGGACACCTGCGCACAGCAAGGCAGAAGGAAACCTTACGTCTTGGTATCCTTCGCCTCCTTCTGCATGATTTCCAAAATCATCTTGCAGGCGGCGGAGCAGCCCTCGGGGGTGGAGTGGATGCTGATGGCTTTTTCTGCAGCTCCCGCGTTTTCTTTCCGGTGCACGTCGATCCTGCAAGCACGGGATGGGCGCTGGGGCCGGGGAGCGGCTCTGCAGCTTCCCCACTGCCCCGTTCCCCCCACGTCCCCACGGACCGCCTGGAGCTCACGCTCGAGCGTAAGGTTATATGCACCCAGGGAGAGGGACGGGAGTTAATTCTGGGCTCAGTACTCCACGTGGACATGGCGGCTAGCGGCTCAAATCACAGAAATCCAAATAAGGCATCAGCATCTATTTATTTTAAGCCACAGGAATGATGAAGTGATGGAACAAGCACGTGCCTGGGGGATGGGCTGGGCTGTCCATCACTTCACGTCTTCGATAAAGCCTTCCTTGGGGGACAAGAGCCGTAGCCAACACAAGCTCAGGGGCCAAATGCAAGAGCAGGCGGGTGAAGCTCCACAGGCTCGGGCTAAACGAGACCGGCTGAAGCAGCCAGGGCAGCCCCGGCCAAGGGAGACACGTGGGGAAGTGCAGCCAGGAAAGCCTGGCTGGGGCAGGTCATGGGAAGGTTGCTCTTGGACACACGACCCTGCACAGCAGGAGAGCTGGAGGGGCCTCAAAAATCCCCTTCTCCAAAAAATAAATCCAGCCTCGTGTGTCACTGCAGATCCCTTGATTCACAGAATCACAGAATAGTAGGGGTTGGAAGGGACCTCTGTGGGTCATCCAGTCCAACCCTCCTG